TGCCTCGCTATCGCTGGGATGGTATTTGGGACCTGGTCTGCTGTCGTTTCGTGGTAAGTAGCTGTCCTGTATTTCGAGATTACTCACGTGTTTTAAGGCTTTCGCCGGAAATTCTCATCCCTTTCGCCGCATTCAAGATACTTTCCACTTGGTGGATATTTTTGGCGAGGTGCCAGTCAAGTGTTAAGCTGTGGTCTAGGGTCATTCTTGTCGAGTCGTCGTTACATTTTCCCACCTATTTTCATAGTTGTGTTGTTACGGCTGGTGGTCTGTTACGAGCTTTCGGGAGCGCCGTCTGACTTGGTATTCAACCGAAGTGTTTCGGTTCACTATGTCATGATCCGTCGACCTCCAGCAGCAAATACAAGGAAAGAAAAAACAAGTAGAGGTGGAGCACTGAACTCGCATGGATGTTACGCTCTTCATACGTAGGCTCTTCTGCTAGAGTAGCTAGCACGCGGCAGGGAAAGCAAATACCGGTCAGTGGCGGAAAGCGGTAGCGCTGAGGAGGGCATTACGCTCGTGCTACTACGTGGTCGATCTCAGGCCCAATGAAGTAGAAGTCCCGAAAGGTGGAAGCGATCGGTAGGACCTCGGTCGTCCGTGGTGGCCCGACTTGTGATATGTTATTGCATGCTTCGCTCAGTCTCGCCGGTCAAAACCTTCTCGGTCAAGCCCAGGCTGAGTTCGATCGTCTTGTATGGGAATGCGGCAAATTACGAAAGCTCCTTGCGGCGAACCAGCAGGCGTCGGAGTCGCAGCGAACGACCATTGGGGAGCTGGAAGCTAAGGTAGTTTAATACGATGAACAAAGAGCCTCATGGTTCGTCTTAAGCTGAATGAATCTCAAGCGGAGATGGACGGCTTGAAGAGAGAGGCCAGTGATCGGGAGGCTGAGCTACGCGAGTGGGTTGTGATTGCTGATTGGGGACGGGGTGGGATGTCCCTTGGGTGTAGGTCCCTTTCGGCTGCCAAGAGCAAAATGAATGATCTTCAAATGATGAACAAGAGAATGAAGGAGGAGCTCGCCGCAGTTCGAGAGGGTAGCTATTCGGTCCTTCTGGGTCCGACGTGTGCTCGCTCAGAATCGGAGTCACGGCGACAAACATGCGATCAGCTCGGGGAGCAAATTGCGAAGCTGCAAGCTGATAGCAAGACTAGTGTCGCTGAAGTCGCCTCCCTTCGCGAACATGTGCGTTCGATCTTCTGCTCTGTAGACTATCATGCGCATCGGGGTAGGTCCATCGTCTGCAGGGCGAAGATGTACAACGTGGAGGCTCCCGAACTACGAGAAACCACAGGAGGTCGACCTGCAATGGAGGTTGGTTTGGATGTTGTCAGTGTTAGGCCTAGAGGGAGGGTTTACCGCCAGCCGGTCGGACAGGGTCCGACTCGGCAACCAGATAGCAGCGGCTCTTCAACAGGAAGCAGTACGGTTGAGGTAGCATTGGAGGATCAGGGCTGGTCATCATGTCTACAGTGCAGGTATCGAAAGGGAACACAGACCCGCAAGAAGACAGCTTAGCAGCCCTTCTTGAGAAGAAAAGCCGGGAGGTCTACTCGTTGAAGCGGGA